GACTCTCCAATCCCGGCAAGCCAGGAATTGGCAGAGAGAGAAAAACAATTGCTGTATGTTACCTTTTCTACAATAGTAAATTCATAGCAGCAATGGCATCAAATGTCAACTGGATAATGACAAATCCTAGGAACCATTTCTAAACAGCCCTTTACCAAAACAAAGATAACTCTGATTTTAGTGAAGATATTTAGTTGTCCAGATAATTCATAGACCTGTTGCTTTTGAGGATTTATTTTAATCCCGTGATTAGGTCATGACTCCCTTTTTCTTTGTGTGTGCTTATTTTTATGGTTTCATGCATTACGAAAACAAGGAAAAAAACCTCACTTCTAGTCTTTCCAGATCGGATGTATACAAAAGAAGACCTTCACCAATTACCCCAACTATAGACTCTGGGAATCCTTCAGCCTTTTCCAGTTTTTTTTTTTCTCTAGGCTTGTGAATGTAATTTTTCATTTGGAGAGCTTTACTGTTTTACTTTTCAGAGGCTTATAATCTTTTTGGTCCCTCTCGTGTCCGTCTGAGGTACTGTTGGTTCTCCGGTGCTCCAACAGGCTGCCAAGTTCTCTTATTCTTCACGGCCCCAGGCACCCAAAGTATGCCAGTCTCCTGCACAGACTACATGCCATGCAAGAGAGAACCAATTCCTCGCGTAATCTTCAGGAGAGACAAAATGCTGGACACATGTTGTTTTTCTTTCTCCCCAGGGAGTAGTCACAAGCTTTGCACTTTCTTCCAAGCTTACTGAGCAGTGCCAGCCCTGCTCTACGGCTGTCAGGTCTCTGCACTGTAACAAACCACTGAGCTTTCTTGTGTTCTCCGTTGCCCTTTGGCAGTCAGAGCATACTTGGCTTTTCATAGGAGCTTTCCCTGAAAAGCTGATGCACTGGGTGGGCACTCAACTCTTCTCTTTTCCTCTCAAAGGAGAAATATGCTGAGCTTTTCAATCTTATCCAGGCACGCCAACTTATCACTCTTGGTATGAAACAGCTTTTCTTACCAATTCTGATGCGGCCATTTCTGACTCTGAGCTGCCTGCAGTATGGCAATGTCTTTATTGGTTTCTAGAGTTCTCATAAAGGCTTTTTTAGCTGTATATTGTTAAGCTGATGTCCCTGCGTGAGAACAAGATCTGTGCTTTCTATTTTGCCATTTTTCTGATGTCATTTCTGAACAATTTCTTTAACGTTTGTTGTTTATTCAGGTTTCCTCTTTGGTAATGACCGCTTATGTTCCTTGCTCATTTCCATACTATAGTGTTTGTCTCTTCATCACTGACTCGCTGGAATAATTACTATATTTTGGATACTAATCTTTTTGGCAATTTTATAGGTTGCAAACAACTTCCAAGTCTGTGACAAGTCATTTCCATTGGTTAATAGTTTTATGATGATGTTTATCCTCAGCTGATTTTTAAAAATTATCAGCTCTATATCCTGGGAATCTGGTGTAGAGTATATACACACTGCATCTTATCAATTTTTAAATATTTTAATTCAGTTATTCAAAAGGTCCACTACTTAACGACTCACAGTTAAATCAAAGACTTTACTTGACAAATAAATAAATTTGTCTAAATATTCAAGCCTCCTAGAGATTTTTATGTACATATCAATACCACAAAATTTACCTATTTCATATTTGCTAATCAATATTTAATAAATTTACCAAGTTTAAAAACCATCACCATCACCTAGTTTTAGAATATTTTCATTACCTCACCAAAAAAAACCCTTTGTGTTCATTTTCAGAACATATGTGCTCCTAATCCTAGATGTAGATAAGAATTAATTAGGTGTCTGTCACTATATTTGCCTGTTCTGAACGTTTCATACAAATGGAATCATCACAATATATAATCCTTTGTGAATGGCTTTTTTAACTTAGCACATTTCTAAAATTCACCCATTTTGCAGCAAGGATCAGTTCCTTCTTATTGAGTAATGTTTTTCTGTTTTAAGGATATTGTATGCTTTGATTTAAGCACTTATGAGTTGATGGATATTTGGGATACTGGCACTTTTGACCTGTTATGAATAATGCTATGATATTAATATACTAATATCTCTGTGTTTATTAACTACTATAAATACTTTTTGTGAAATACATATTTTAATATTTTGCCTATTTGTCTTCCTACCACTGAGTTCTTCATATATTCTAGTCCTTTGTGAAGTGCATGATTTGAAAATATCTTCTCATAATCTATAACTTTGTCTTTTCATTTTTAGAATGATGGTAAGAGACTTTTAAAACTTTGTTGATTGTTCTTTAGATTATTTCTAGGACGGAACCACTGCAAATAAAGCAACTCTGAACCTTCATGTACAAGTATTAGCGAATACTTATGTTTTTATTTGTTATGAGTAAATACTCAATAGAGGAATTGGTGAGTTGAATGGTGTTATGGCTTGTGTCTTGATGTCCCCCCAGAGCCTCATGCAGTCATAGGTGGAGCTTTTTCTGGAATTGATTCATGGTGCAAAGCTAGGCTCAAGGACACTAGGATTGAGGGTGTGAGTGCTACCCTCCCTATGTGATCTACGTAAGACAGAGGAGGCAGAAAAACGCTGTTGATGTGCCTTCCCATCCCTTGTAGCTTTTGTTGTCTTCCACTGCCAAGGAAGGCCCCTCTTCCACCTTGCCTTGGAGCCAGCCAATTATGGACTTAAACCTCTACAAATTGTAAGCCAAATAAACCTTTCTCCCTCTAACTTTGGGTGTCAAGCATTTTGTCTTAGCAAGGAGAGAAAAGTAACTAAGACACGTGGCAGGTGTTTATTTAACTCTATAAAGAACTGTCACATTGTTTAACAAAGCAGATGTATCATCTCACATTCTCATAAGCAGTGTGTAAGAAAATACACATCTTCTTCAACACACACTAATGTGTTTTAAATTTTAGAAATTTGAGAAAATATGCAGAGTGGTATCACATTTGATTTTTTTTCTTGTTTAATTTTCTACCACAGTAAAACATAATAGTTATACAGACATTTGTAAGTGGTAACAATGCACTGAAATTAATTCACATGCTGTCTATACTCAAAAGTTTTAGGGCTGGGGATTTAGCTCAATGGTGCCTGCCTTGCAAGCACAAGGTCCCAAGTTTGATCCCCAATACCAAAAAAAGTTTTATTTATCTCTAATATAAACACTGAGCACATTTTTTAAACTCCACTTCTTTCTCCCTTTTCCAGTTTTGTCTCTATGAATATACCTATTGTAGGACTTAACCATTTAATGTTTAAGTGGACTTAAACCATTTATCTTCTGTATCTGACTTATCTCACTAAGCTTGAATGATGCTTTCAAAGCTCACCTATATTTTTACATATAAAAAAAATCTATATTCTTTTTATAGCTGTATAGCATTCCACTACATAATATATTTTTTATCCATTCATCTGTTGATAAGATACTTGGGTTGTTTCTACCTTTTAGCTACTGTCACTAAGAAACACTGGCATATAGGTACCTGCTCAAGTTCTCAATTTCAGTTCTTGGGATATAAATATCTATAGCAATGGGTTTTCTGAGTCACACAGTAATTCCATGTTTAACTTTTTTTGGGAAATGCCAAACTCTTTTTCACAGTGGCTCCACCATTTTATATTTCCCAATTTCTTTGCATCCTTACCAATACTTACTTTTCCATTTCTTTTTTTATTATTATTATAGTAATCCTATGGGTATAAAGTGGAATTTCACTGTGACTTTGAATTACATTTTTTAACAATTAGTGGTGACTAGCATCTTATGTGCTTATTAGCCAGCTGTGTATCTTCTTCAAGTTCTATGTTCCTTTTTTAGGGTGTCATACTGGGGATTGAACTTAGGGTTTCACACATGTGAGGCAAATGCTTTACCAATGAGCTACATAAATTCTCAGCCCAAAAGCCCTCAATTTTGATAAAGTCCAATTTATCTATTTTTCCTTGTTGGCACTTCTAAAAAATCACTACCAATACAATGTCATGAGAATTTTTCCCAATGTTTTCTTCTAAGAATTTTATGGTTTACTTTAAGGATCATATGCAATTCCTAAAGCTGAGAGGGCAAAGATCTTTTTTTTGTTGTTGTTATTTCTGAGACAAGGCATTCCTTATGTAGTCCAGGCTGGCCTTGAACTCACGGTAATCCTTCTGCCTCAGCCTCCCAAGTGGGGCATACAGGCATTTGTAACCATGCCTGGCTTCCAAAGACTATTTTTTAAATTTATTTATTTTTTGGTGCTGAGGATCAAACTTGGGTCCTTGCACTTATGAAGCAGGCGGCAGAACCACTGAGCTAAATCCCCAGCCCCCAAAGACTTATTTTTGATACAGCTTTAATTAGCAATAGTTTTTTAAAATTCACAACACTTTCTCAGTCCCCAGATTTCCTTGGTTAATGATTTGTTTAAAATGAAATGCTCATCAATGAAAACAACTCTGAATAATTTCACAGAGTGAAGAAATTTGTAATGTGATTGTCTTTTACTTTGACTGAATCTATTAGATTTGTTTAGTCTAGAGTTTGGAACATTCTTTAAATAGATTATATGTACACATCAAATAACTGTTGCCTTGTAAATATCCTGTGTGTGTGCACATGCATGCACACGCACACACACAGTGGCAGGGAGCAGGCACAGTGGGAACACACACTGCATCTGTACACATTCTTCTCTTACACAGTAAGGAATTCCAAGGTGAGCCACAGTGGTCCTTTTCTTTTGTATTCCTTACTGTATATGTAAGAGCCTTTAGCCTAATGGATACACAAAAGATGTTGCATGATTTGCTTATTGCCTTATGAGAATTGAGAGAATAATGATTAGAAAGTTTGCAAAAACTAATCAGTTTGCCATGTATTCCACTAAAAATAATCTCTCCACAAAGAATATAACCATAGCTATGAACATGCACTTCCCATGAATTACAGCATTTTTTTCTCTTATAACTGAACTGATACATTTTGAAACTGGAAAAGAGGATGTTTGGTTTAACACCTACCGCCTTTGAGTGTGAAATCCATGAAGATGACTCTCTCTCAGTTTGGACACTAATGATAAAACCATCTGTGAAACAAAATCAGTTGTAGGTCAACTCGTGCTGCAAACAGGATTACATCAGTTCTATTTTTCTAGGTGTGAGTGATATTTCCGTTGAGATTCCTCTCTCCCACCTTCTCCTTATGTTTTATTTTGTTGGAGTGAAAAGACGGCCGTGCCAAGTCACATTTACTAATAAGGTAGACTTCATGTTTAATGTTCATTTTCTGCATTCCTATCTAGGGAATGAACAATAGATCATTAATTTCCTATTAATTAAAACCAAATTCATGTAGAGTTAAAAATGCAGAGTTCACTTATTGTATTTAAACTTATTTTTAAAAATGCTTTTCATGTGTAATACTTCCAAACAACCAAAATGGCTAACACACATTAAAAATCTCTTAACATTTTGTAGAAGTTATGTCAAGATAATAAATTAAAATTTCTTGAATTTGGCTAAAATTATAGGCAGAATAATTACAGCTTAAATACTAACATGTAAATATGTAGTACTATTTACAAGGCTGTTTAGTGAATTTTCTGCCATGCTTTAATATAAATTGCAACAAGTTCATTTTAAATACAAGATTTATCCAACAGTACAAGACTATGTTCCTAGTTTAGAAAATCTCTTGTCTCCAAAATCTTTAAATAAGGAAGTGAATGTGTTATAAAAAAGAGAGGTTGACTAAAACCTTTCCTGGTTTCCTTGTTCTTTCTCATAACCTTCCACTTCTCAATTCTTCCTTATATGGCCATGAGTCTGACCAAGGTAAGAAGAGATAAACAAAGAAAAGTTAAACAATTCCCCCAGAGGAGTGAAGTGTTTCCATTTATCCTTTGGCTGATGGTACATTCAACAACGAAAATTTCCATACTAATATTTAATATACTCACATTTTTAAGCAAAGCAGGATAGTAATCTACAGGTTCATATCCAAGACATTGACTGAAAAGATTAATTTCTTTTATATCAAATGTGAATGCAGAAAGTATATGAGACAACAAGCCCTAAAAAATGTAAACAAAAAGGAACAGTTAACCTCTTAAAAGTGAAAGTGTTTGTTACATAAAGTATCTAGAATCTGAATCATTTGGAAATGGACAGTCTCTATGAAACCAGTAATCTATCTTTACCCAGTCTACTTTGATTCAAGATGCAAAGAAGAAATAACTTAGTGTTACAATTAGTACATTAAAAATAAGTAAATTTAAACAAATGTGAGCAGCGAAAAAAATATCTGATGAACAGATAGTGCTTAAGTATATTAAGAATAGATAATGTGTTTAAAATGTTTTTATCTTCTTCGTTCAACTTTGGTAATTCATAAGTATCTAGAAATCTGTCCATTTCTTCTGTGTTTTCCATTTTATTAAAGTACAGGTTCTCAAAGTAGGTGTTCATGATCCTCTGGATTTCTTTCGGATCTGTTGTGACTTCGCCTTTTTCATTCCTAATTGCATGGATCTGAGCCTTTTCTTTCCTTTTTTTGATAAGATTAGCTAAGGGTTTGTCAATTTTATTTATTCTTTCAAAAAACCAGCTCTTTGTTTCATTTATTTTTTGTATCGTTTTCTTAATTTCAATTGCATTGATTTCTGCTCTGATCTTTATAATTTCCTCTCTTGTTCGAGCTTTGGGTTTTTCTTGCTCTTGTTTTTCTAGGAGTCTAAGTTTCATCGTTAAGTTGTTTATTTGAGCCCGCTCTGTTTTCCTAGTGTGGGCATTCAATGTTATGAATTTTCCACGTAGA